GTACCCTGGGGGTCCCGTTACATTTCACCCTCAAGTCCCCCTGGAAGCAACACACCTGACTCCATCTGACTCCACCATGCCCACAGTGAGACAACTTCCTAGAAACACTGAAGGAGCTCAGGTAAAGGGTGACCTGTCCCCAGTGTCCACCCCCGATAGCTGGAATGGGTTGTCTTCCAGAAGGGGAGGCCTGGTGTGGTCTGCTCAGATGATCGCCTTGAAATGGCTCCGACTGGCCTGGCTCTCAGCCTTTGTCCAGGTGTGGCCTTGGGACTTGTCCCTCTGGCTCTGGGTGTCCCGGGCCCCTGGCTGTGGCGACGTCCTGCACTTGCCCCACCACCCTGCCATTGGGCAGCCTTTGACCTCCTGGCTCCCTGGCCACAGGTGGTCTGCTTGTCAGGAGAAGCATCCGGGTGGCCAGCCTGCAGGAGACCAGAGGGAGGTGGTGCCAAGGCCGAGACACCACTGGGCTGTCTCCGTGTAGGGCCGAGGGCAACCGGGGTCTGCTGCTTCACCACTCCTCTCAAGGGACCTGGACATGGCCTCCCTTGCAGGTCTCAACCTGCCCCCCCCCTCCTTCTTGGTCGGGGCAGGGCTTGCTCTTGTAGTGGGGACAACGTTTCCCTGCTTCCATGTTAGGCCCTCTTCCTGGAAAAGTATTGGTTTTCATATCAGAGGCAGTTAGCTTGACTGGACTCAGACTCCATGTCCATCTGCCATGTGGTTGGCCTGAGCTGAAATCTCCACAGGTCTTTCACCCTCCCAGCCGATGTTTCTTGCTGTGCCCTTTGGAGTTTCCCCTACACACACACAGTTGAGGGATCAGCCCAGGACTGAGTAGAGTTTCCATGCAGATTTTGGGGTTTCCCTTCGTTGTCCCTCCTCTTCTGGACATCTCCCCTTCATTTCCAGCTGCTCTTGAAATACAGCCGTGAATCCCATGACCTGAGCCCTCTGGCCAGGCTGGTGCTGTGTCTGCTGTGTTCCCCTTGCACCTGTGGCGTGGCCTGGGGTGCACCTGCAGACGGACCCTTCGAGGGCTGATCTTCTCCAGTGTCTGCTTGCTTTGGCCATTCTCTAGCACCTTCAAACCATCGTGGTTTTGAATAGTTTTTCCAGAGTTTATGATGCTGTCTGCAAGGGTTCATCTGATACAAGCTGCTCCCCCATGATGGGAATCGGAACTACCTTTGAAACCAAGCAAGGGCTCGATCTGCTTGCTGCAAGATAAATGGCCAAGCAGGTGGTGGTAGAGAAAGAACTTTGATAAGCGATAAGCTAGCACATGGGAAGATGGTGGACTACTGTCCTGAAAAATCCCATCTTAAAGGGAACTGATTTGCCAATGACTTATGTGAGGGAAAAGGGGCTGGGAAGGGGCTCAGGAGTGTGACGTGATTGAATGGCAGACCGTAGATGTCTCTCCTTAGCTGACTCGTTGACTGCAACATTCCTGAGGACTCTGAGAAAACCTCAGGTACTTCTTCATCTGGGACAGAAGGAACGGTTTGGGTAGAGGACACAAATTTTCTGCTAACAAGTTATTCTTTCTCCTGGTTACAGATTAGTTTGCCTACATGCAGTTCTAAGCATTTTCCCAAGGCACCTTGTGACACACAGAAATGGGGAGGCAGAGCATGTGGCCTTGGGGGCTGAAGTTCAAAGAGTCCTTTGCGCAGGGGCGACTGTCTTTCATATTTCTTATGATGTGTGAAGCTTGGATTCGGTCATTTTAGCTTCTCAATTACCTGCAAGATGCTTAGTTAGGTGGAGGGCCGTTGGCAAGTTCCTCCCTTATCAGCCATCCTCCTGCTGTTCTGCAAGGCAAGCTCAGAAACTTTGGTTACTTTGTTTCCCACGTTAACTTTGTGGGCACAGGCCGAGGTTCATCCTAATCCAAGGAAACTTGAACTCCTTTGTCCTCGGTTTCATGTTCTCTCATGTGGTTTTTCATTTTCATTTCCCTTGTAACGAGTGTGGTTCAGCAACATTTTCCTACGTTTGTTGGCTCTTTGGATATCTCTTAAGAGGTCTGTTGAATCCTTTTGCCTATCTCTCTACTGAATTATGTGATTTTTCTGATTGACTTGCAGGAGCTCTCTGTATATTCAGGCCATGTTGCCAGTTGTCTGTTTGTAGGAAATATTGTGAAAGACTCTAAATGCACCAAAGATGTCTTCTTCAGTCTTCAGTGGGAAGCATGGCACTGTCTAGCACCCCCCTCCAGGTTACCCGACTTAGCGGGGGCTCCACACTCTCTATTGTCTTTGAGCTCTTTTACAACTCTGTAAGTTGTAGAGAATCGAAGGCAATGGGACGTCTCTTATCTGGAAGGATGGTTGATTCTTCCCTGCCTCCCATGGAGAAAGCCAGGTGCATTCAAAAATGCATCTGTTGACAGACGCTTTTTAGCATTCTTGATTCCACTATATCAGTGAGGGACTTTGAACTCTATTTTAAACTGCTTATAACCCCTTAATTGATGAGTTAAATAGTCTTTGAAATCTGTTCATTATCTGTCTATATGAGAGTCATGATCACCATGTTAAAACCTGTCCTTCAACATGACGCAAATGTCTCCTCCCCATGGCTCCACTTATCCTGGGTCAAGGAAGTTCTGTGACCAGGAGCGGGTAGGAGACCAGGTGTTGAGGAGCAGACCTGAGGGATGCCGGTCACCCTGTTCCTCCAGGGCTCTGGGTCAGGGCCACTCCCCCTGGACAGCTTCCCCCAGTCCGTTTTGTTGTGTGGCCTCACAGCCCTACACTTTACCCTCACAGCACTTATCACAGTGTCCTTACGTCACTATTTGTGGGCTCATGTACTTCACATCCGGGGTGACGGATGCAGGTGGCTACTGAGTGGGAGAGGCTGGCAGAGACTCAGGCTGGGGGAGGGTGGGTGCATTCTGCTGGGTGCATTAGGGAAGACTGACAGAGGAGGAGGCATGGAGCTGAGAGCTAAGAGAAGGCTGTGTAGGATTTGCGAGGTGTGTAGAGGGAAGGAACACTAGGAGAAGGGAACAACATGGGCAAAGGTCCAGGGTAGGGGCAGAGTGAGGTACTCAGGGCGTCAATATCTGAGTGCACGGGGACAGGGCATTGTGTTTGTGTGTTCCTGGACCTAACTCCCCTGTTTTGGGTTGAATTTTGTCCCACAGATTCAAATCTTGAAGTGGTGATCCCCAGGAACTGAGATCGTGGCCGTATTTGGAGATAGGGTTTTTCAAGAGGTAAAAAGTTAAAATGGGTTCAGTAGGCTGGGCCCTAATCCAGTGTGACTGCTGTCCTATAAGAAGAGGAGTCAGGACACAGACACTCGTAGAGGGAGGCCGGGGCGAGGACACAGGGAGAGGAGGCCATCTGCACAGCCAGGAGAGATGCCTCAGCAGAACCCCACTCTGCTGACACCTGCTCTGGGACGTGCAGCCTCCAGATGTGTGAGAGAACAAATGTCTGTTGTTCAGGCCACCCAGGCTGGTCGTTGCAGCAGCCACGCTGACTCATACACACCCAGCACGGGGGTCTTGCTTCTGGTTGCGGCCAGTGCTGGAAGCTCCTCCTGTCCCCGGGCCCCAGGCTGGCCCTGCTCCCCACCAGGCCCCGTGAGCCCCCCTCGCCCCTCCACATAGCCCCGTTTCTGGGCCTCCTTCCTCACCCACGGAACTCCAGGGGCTAGAGGAGAGCTGAAGATGGGAGGGGATGGAGGGCTGTAAGGTTCTGGAGCTATGGGTGTGGAGGGTGTCCCTGATGTGTGAATCGCCCAGGCTCTGGATTTCATGAGGTGTGTCAACATAGTGACGTTGGAATTTTTAAGGATGTTTTATTGTTGTTTTAAGAAAAGAAATGGTAAAGAAAATCAATGGGCTCCAGAAAGTTAAAAAGAAGGAAAAAAGCTACCCAAGTCATGTCTGTGGCCTTTCCTTTGAACAATCTCTCTGGGCATTGTCCCCCTGTATTCGGGACAGGGGTCCACCTCTCCTTCCCGTGTGCATCCGTGTCCTTCCCATCTAGAGAGGGCGACTAGGGGTTCCTTCAGTACCTGAGGGGTGATTCGGCCCAAGGGTTGTGAGGCCGGGGGTCTGAAATTGGTCCACTTGGTCAGCTCCCCAAGGCCATGGGCTCTCTCCTCGGGGGTCTCTTCTCTCACCTCTGCCCCATGGAGCAGCTGTACTTCCTGTGGACTGTGACTCAGGCCCCGCCAGCTGTAGGACTGGGTGGCTGTGCCTGCCGCCCTGCTCTCCTGGCTCCCCTCCACCTCTGTCCACCAAGGCCATATCCAGTCTGCTTGGGGACCTGGTCAGCAGGCACCTCTCCAGGAGGCCCGCCTGGCCGGATGCCCACGCCTCCCCAGGTGGTGCCACCCCCACTCCCCAGGGATCCCGCAGTGGCCATGTCCCCAGCCCTCCTCTGAGGGATCTCCCTGCATGGAGACAATCCGAGTGACGGTTAGGGGCATGTCTAGAAGCTTCCTTGTTGTTGGACGATGGCCCTGTGTCCTCCTGGCCTTGGCAGTAGATGTTTCCGCTCAAGGATCTGAAACCACACGCCTCCTCTCTGGAAGCCAGTGTCCTTGACCCAGGCATGGATGCAGTTTGCATGAAGACCCGTCCCTGCCCACATGGACACGGCACTTTGGCCCTCCACCTCCTCCAGGGGGACCGCACATGCCGACCCTGGGAAGGTCCTGGTGAGGGACACTTGGCCCTGATGATTCAGCTTCCACATGGCCTCAGTGTTTCTTGGTGGTTCCTTGGAGGGGCCAATTGGCGTCCATCAGCTCAGTTTGGGGTTATAACTGATGTCTGCTCGGTTCTCCAAATGAGGTCAGGGGGCTGGATACAGCCTGTGGTGACTGCGAGGCCAGAGGGTGGGGTGCAGGCCAAAGGAGCCATGAGGTCAGAGTGTGGTGAAGTCAGAGGGCAGTGGAGCAGGTCTGGGCAGCAGGCTGAGTGTAATGAACCGAAGAACACTGATCCTGTCTGGGGTCTGTGGCGGCCCTGGATGTCAGCTTAGGATATGTGGCCCTAGGCCCCCTGCCCGATCATGTTCCTGTAGTCGGGGACCATCGTCGGCTTCAGCTCCACCACCGAGGAGAAGATCCACTTCACCTGCAGCGGGCAGGCGAGGGGGTGAGCATGGCCTGGACCCCAACACCAGCCTCCCACTAGAGCCTGCCTTCCCTGCATGTGGGGCCACCTGACAGTGGGGGTCCAGATGGGGGTGACATGAGGACGTGGTGGGGACAGTGAGGTGACAGAGAGGGGATAAATGGAGACAGCAAGGGGACAGTGAGGGGACAGGGTGAGGGCAGTGATTGGATGGAGACGGAGCAGTGAGGAGACAGTAATGGGAAATGAGGCGACTGTGTGAGGAGACAGTGTGAGGACCGCAAGAGGACAGTGAGGGGAGGGGCAGGGACAACGAAGGGACAGTGGGGGTACAGTGTGGGAACATCATGGTCACAGCGAGGGGATGACGTGGGGAGGGCCTGGCCCACCTTGAAGAGGGTGACGGTGGCGCTGTAGCACACGCTGAGCAGGAAGAGTGTGATGAAGATGGAGATGGTGGTCCACAGCCCGTCCAGCTCCCCGTCCTGGGTCTCGACACAGCTCTCATCCAGGACCATCTCTAGACAGAGAGGGCATGGTCAGTGCTGTTCCTGCCCGAGGGGGCCTGGCGCAGGGTCAGTGGGGCTTCGGTGGGTGGCTCCTTCTGGGACAGGGTGGGCGGGGCAGGTGGGAACCCAAGTTGGGCTGGGCCAGGAGGGCCCTGAGGTCAGTCTCTGGGTACTGGCCTCAGCCTGCTTGTTCCTCCAGCTGGGACCCCAGGCATTGGCTCACACCCCTGATCCAGATCTCAGCCTGGCCAGTGGGGGACAGCCCTGTCCTCTGCTCTGCCCTGCACTGGGGTCCTCTGGGGAGAAGGTGCCCTGACCCACGCAGGAGAGCGGCTGAGGTCCCACTTCCTCTTTCCCGGGGACCAGGCCTGGAGGGTGGAGGGTCAGCAGAGCCTGTCCACAGTGGGGACCCTGTCCCAGGGAAGGGCCGAGAGAGGGTTGGGTGTGTCCCCAGCACATGAGTGGTGGGAGTGTTGGGGACACTTGGATGTGGAGGGATTTCTGTGTGTCAGGGTGGGGGTGTATGTGCCCCGGGGAAGAGGAGGGCCAGTTGTCAGAGCTGGTCATTGTGGTCAGTGTGAGGATGAGGCCTGAGCAGCCCCCGGGGTGTTGGAGGCTGTGGGGACCCTCTGGTGTCCACGGTGTGGGTTCAGGAGACTGTGCTCCATGCTCTGCTGGGCATGTGCAGGCTGCCCTTGTGTGAGCCCCAGTGTGTAAGGCCTGCGTGTGTGCGTGTGTGTGTGTGTGCTCACACGTGTGTGTGTGTGGGCTGGCACTACTCAGTGAGATGGGCTTGTTTTCAGTAGGTCAGGGATCAGTGTCTACGTGTGGGTCAGGGTCGGTCCCTCCCCTGGGCACTCAGGACCACCTACCTCTGCCCCTTTGGGGCACGGGAGTGAGTGTCCCCATGAGTGGACAGGACTGGACCCTCCCCTGTGAGAGGGTCGGGGTCTGTTCTCAGAGTGCCCGAGGGCAAAGGAGGGCCTGTCCCCACACCATGGACCCAGCAATTCTCCAGCTAGAGTCAGAGCCACCAGGCAGAGCTTGGAGTGACCCAGTGGACAGGGAATCCGGGGGGACAAGGATGGGCCACTGTCCCACAGCTTGTGCTCCTACAGAGGAGGGACAGCCTGTGCACGCATTTCCCTGAGGGACACTGGAGGGGCTTGTCCTGTTCCCTGGCCACACTCCAGCCCCGAGCAGCTGCTGCTGGAGGGAGGCCCAGAGGAGCTGCCTCCTCTGGCATAGCCCCCTCTCCTCCCTGGGCAGCCTCTCCAGCCATCCTGGGTGGCCTGCACAGCCCGCAGCTCTGAGTCTTGCCCGAGTGGGACCGTCCCTCTCCCCTAATGGTGACAACTGTGGTCTCAGAGCTCGGCTGCCCTGCTGCCCCCAGGCCTGGGCGACCACCTGAGCTCTGCCTCGTAAAGAACCATGACATTGTTGCAGGGTCCCAGGGCCATGCTGGGTGCTTTATTTCATGCCAGGGGGCCCTGGAGGTATGTACACAGGGGTGGGCGCTTAGTGTCCTCGTGGGACCCTGAGCATCCGCGGGGAGGGAGGGCTTGCTGGAGTGCCGGGCACGCGGCTCATTTACCAGGAGACTGGGAGGTGGATTTCTCCGTGGAGTGATTGTGGAGAGCCTCGTGCATCACCACGCACGTGAACTTGACTCCCTGCTTCCACCTGTTTGTCTCCACCGAGAGCTTGCTGTACAGGAAGTAGGACCCATCGCCTTCCAGCTGGTGTGGGGTGGTGTGGTACTTGCCCTCCGGCTCTGACTCCCCATTGCTCTTCCACTCGATGACGATGTCACGTGGGTAGAAGTCTTTGACCAGGCAGGTCACGCTGACCGTGCCCTTGGCCAGCTCCTCCTGGTGTGGGGCCAGCACGTACACCTGCGGCTCCCGGGCCGGCCCTGTGGGGAAGGGGTCAGTACAGATGGTCACTCCCTCGGGGGCCCCACAGGACCCTCCCTGCACCCATCTGTCCTGCTCTCACCTCTGTCCTTGGAGATGGTTTTCTCAATGGGGGCCGGGAGGGCATCGTTGCTGACCTTACACTTGAACGTCTTTCCACTCAGCCAGTCCTGGTGCTGGATGGGGAGGACGCTGACCACCCGCTGGGTGCCATTTGGCTGATTCTCGTTTGGCGTCGTTGTGGCCGTGCTCTGCTCCGTGCCATCCACGTACCAGTTTAACTGGACATTGGGGTTTTCCTGGCTCACGTCCACCACCAGGCAGGTGACCTTGGGCTTGTGGGACATCATGAGGATGTCCTTGGGTTTCGGGGGGATGATGAAGACCCTCGGCCCTACTGGATATGGGGGTAGACATGGGGGAGTGGTCAGCACCTGGGTGCGCCTCCTCTTGGGCACTCACCCCCCCACAGGCCACACCTGTGCTCTGCCACCTCCTGGGTGTGGAGGGAGATGCCCAGCTGACTCACCTTGGCATGGTAAACAATTGCAGCAGGGCTTCAGGTCTTTTACGACTGCAGAGAGAGCAGACTGGGGGTTACCAGGGTTGGAGAGAGAAGGCCTTTGGGTGGGCTTAGAGCAGGGCCAGGTTTTGGCAAGTCTGAGTCTAGCACCCACCTCTGTGGGCCCAGGGGCTGGGTTAGGGGTGTCCAGCCTGCCCCTACCATGGGCACGGTGGAAACACCCTGATGACCCCATCCCTGAGCTAGGGAGGCCTCCCTTGCTGCTCTGGGGTCCAGGCAGGAGGGCTACCCCTGGCCTGTCTTTCAGGTAACGCCTTCCATGTGGCCCCTCCTCTCACCGATTCTCTTATCCACCTTGGTGCTGCTGGCTGGGTGGGCTACGTTGCAGGTGTAGGTTTGGCTCTCCAAGCTGCTGGCAGGCACGGTCACCACGCTGCTGAGGGAGTAGAGCCCCGAAGACTGCAGGACGGACGGGAAGGTGTGCACGCCGCTGGTCAGGGCGCCTGAGTTCCAGGACACGGTCACTGGCTCTGGGATGTAGCTGGAGACCAGGCAGCCCAGGGCCACCGTGGATTCAGATGTGTCCCCACAGCAGGGGGCCAGTGGGAAGACCTTTGGGGCCGTGGTGGAGGCTACAAGAGAGGGGGCTGTGTGACCACCAGGTCCTCACCTCGCAAGAATCCTGGAGTAGTGCTGAGCCCAGTGCCCATGTGCTTCCAGAAAGTCTGCAGACTAGATGCCCTGATGGCTCCCCGTCCCCCAGGACGAGGTGCCTCTGCAGCCACAGGCTCTGGATGGGTCAGCTCAGTCAGCACTGGATGACCACTGGATTAGAGCCCCCTGGGGCCCCTTTCCCCTCGTCCCCACTCAGGCCTCCAATGGGTGTTCAGCCTGTCCCAGCCCTTCGTTGGAACCCTGATCAGAGAGCCCTGTGCCTGGCTGGTTTCTGCTGGCCTTCCAAGACCTTTGTATTATTGATCAAGCTTGGCCCTGCCCTGGGTGAGCTCCTGTCTCTTTGGGTGAGGTGGGTCTCTGACCCGCATTGCCCACGTCTGCTCCTGACCCCTCAGCCCATAACCCTTGCGTTGGCCTGTCTCTGTTGGGCAGGATCCGTGTCTTCTGAGTCAGCTCTGCAGGCAAGACACCATGGGCCCACTCCCCGACCCTGCCCGGACCCTTTAACTGCCCCATACCCCATCCTTGCCCTGGACCCCGTCCCTGACCTGTAGTCTGTCCCTGCCCTGGACCCTGTCCCTGTCCTGGACCCCATCCCTGGGAGTCTCCTTCTCTCCATCCCCTCTGTCCCTGAGGCTCCCCAACCCAGGCTCCTAAAACTGCCTCTGGGATGACCGTCCCTCCTCAGGTCCTCCTGGCGTGGCTTTCTGAGTTCACCTCCGGCCCCTCCACGCAGCACCACTGCCCTGCACCATCCCTGCTCTTGGGCCTGTCCAGCTCCTTGTTCACTCCAGAGCCCTCCTCCAGCCGTGGTCCTTCCCGAGCCAGCCCGCCCCTCGACACAGGTGGGAGCTGTGCATGGCCCACGGCCCTCCTTTCCCCTCGGTGCCAGCATCCCCAGGCCCCAGCGCAGGTCGGGGTGTACCCCCTACCCACACACCCAGGCGAGGCCTGTCCCCTGTGACCCTGACTCCTGTCTGCTCAGCCCCAGGGCCCTGCACGTACTCTCCCCAGCCTGGCAGCCAAGGATCAGGTCCCCAATGGGCCCCTCACCCTTCTGTCCTCCAGGTCCACTGCCTTGTGCCACCCCACACAGCTTCCGCATGCCTGGTTCTCCTGTCCCATATCCCCACAAGCTCATTGGAAGAGGGCTAGTGCCCCTGGACCCAGGGACTACAACCCATCGGGTCTCCTCAGAGCTGCCCCCCTGCCCCTTCAGCCCCAGAGACCTTCCATCCCAGGGTCCCCCTCCATCCCAACTCACCATCTAGCTGGCAACTCAACTGGTTGACACTCTCCTTCTGCAAAGGGAGGACACCTGAGACCCCTGAGCCCTAGCTGTCCCTGCTCCCTGTAGCTGCTCAGCTCCCACCAGCTGAGGTCTCTGTCTAGCTCAGGTCTGCTGCCCTTCGTCCCCTAAGCTCCTGGGCAGTCCTCTGCCCCGTTGTGCCCTCCCATCCTCCTGCCCCCCAGCCAAGCTCTGTCTGCTCCCCCGGAGCTTCTGAGCAGCCCGTGTCCCTCCAGCTCTCCCACCTGTCTCTGCTCACCTGCCAAGCTCTGCCTGCTCTGCCAGAGCTTCTGAGCAGCCCCTGCCCCATCCTACCCTCCCGCCTACCTCTGCTCACCTGCGAAGCACTGCTTGCCTGCCCTGGACTTCCAGGGCAGCCCCCTGGCCCTCCTGCCTTTCCACCAGCCCCAGCTCACCTATAGCTGCTTTGACTGCCCCTCAGGAGCTCCTGGGGCAGGGTCTGCCCCTTGGGCCCTCCCACCTCCCCTGCTCACCTGTAGCTGCTCTGCCCATCGTCCCTGGAGCCACTGGTCCACAGCAGCTCCCTACCCCTCCTGTACTCTGATCCCCTCTCCCTAGTTCGCCCTCTTCCTGAACTCATTCTTTTCTCAGCCCTGGGCTTTTCCTCCGGAACCCACCAGGTGCCCACCCTCTCTCTGGCCAGCTCACTCCTGGCAGACTCCCTGCCCTGGTCCCCTCCTGGAGGAGCTCCTGGCCCCAGCTGGGCTTCACCCTCTCCTCGCCCATCACCAGCCTCGGAAGCCCCATCAGGAAGCCCCTCTGGACCTTGCTTCCTCCAGTTGCCGGGTCAGCTGCCCTGTGCCCACCAGCTCGCAGCCCCTGGAGCCCCGGCTCCTGCTCCTGACCCTCACTGCCTGGCTCTCGACGCCCCTCCCGTAGCCCACTGAGCTCCTGCTCAGCCCTGTACTGTCTGAGTTCTGAGCACACGGGAGCCCATGCTGCTCCCCTGCTCTGCTCCCGGCTCACCTGCTGCCCTTGGCATTGGCTGTAGCCCAGGACCCAAGGCCACCTCCTCTGACCCTGCTCTGGGGCACGAGCTGTATCCATTGGCCTGGACAGGACCCTTAGGCCACCTGGGGGTCCTCTTCCTCACTGTCCCGATCCAGGCCCCTCCCTGTGTCCTGTGCTCAAACCCGTCTGTCCATCCTGCCATCCGTCCTGCAGCAGCTCAGCTCCTGACCCATTCTGCCCTCAGTACAGCTGGTCAAGTCTCACCCTCAGGCTTCTGGCCTCTCAGCCCATCACGTTCCTCAATGTTGATCTTCGCTCTCTGGTGCATCCAGCTCTGTTGGCTTGGGCCCCCGCCCATGGCTCCCTGGTGCTGGCTCTGGGTTAGTGCTGTGGCCTGTGGGCAGCCTGCCATCCCCCCTGGAAGCTCAGCTGCTCGAGCCCTTGTGTGACATCCCTGAGGGCTTGGTCTCCCCTCGGCTCCTGATGCTGGTTCCACTTTCCCCACTTCATTCCTTCCCCCTCCTCCATGGGGACCCCACTCACCGAGGGTGGGAGATGTCAAGTTGGCTGCCCTTCAGCCCAGCCTGGGTCTCAGAGGAACCCCAGCCCCCTCTGTGCTCTGGCCCCACGGACATGTGGCTCCTCATGGCCCCGTGCTGTGTGCCCACTGCCCGGCTCCTTGGAGTTCATAGCCGGTTCCCGGAGGTGTGAACTGCCTCCCGACAGCCCTACAAAGACTAAGAACGGGACTGAAACCAGGGGGTACCTCTTGCTTCCTGAAGTTCCCTTTTCTTCTCCGTGGTTTGTGTCTCAGAGGGCCTGGGGGGAGTCCAGACATGGCCGAGGCTGCCTCATGTGGGTGTGTGGCAGCGGGGTGGGGTGGGTGCCCGGGACCCAAGGGAGAGTGCCGGAAGCCTGGCATTATGTGCTGCTCTTTGCTCTCTGCTTCCACAGGGATTACGCCTCCTGGCCCCACCACAGTCCCGCATACCTGAGCCTCTCACCAGAGCCCTCTCGTTCCCCTACCCCAGAGGGCACGTCTCCCTGCCTGGGTCAGCATGCAGTGTGGACACAGGCTGTCCTGCTCACAGCCCGCAACCCAGCCCAGGGCCTCCTCCTGTGCACCCACCAGGATGGCCCCCCGAGTAGAAGCTGTCTTCCTCTGGGTCCCTGCTTCTTCTCTCCTTCCCTCTCTGGCTCCATCCGGGGATGGATCTCTGACCAAAGGGGGTGCAACACTGAGGGTTAGACGGAAGCTATTCTCCCGGCCAGAGCTGTCCTGCAGGGGACAGACCTAAGTGTGATGTGCAAGGACAGAGTTCACGGTTGTCACTGGGGCCTGAACGTGCTCCTCCATCTGAGAGACAGTGTGCAGTCCCTGTCCTCCCATTTGTGAGCTGAGACCCAGCCGTCCTGTGCAGCTGTCCAGTGTCTCATGTCTTGGAGTGCGGCGGCTCACCCCAGGCTCCGTGTGCATCGCTGGGGTGCCCTGTGTCTTCCATGTTAGGCCATGGGTCGGGGATCCCTGGGAAGCACCGTGACCCGCACCCCAGAATTGCCAGGGGCCAGGAAGGTGAACGTGGGATGTCAGGCCTGGCTTCTTCCTAGTGGTCAGTGGTCAGGAGCTTGTGTTGTGGCCCCTTCAGGTGGTCCAGTTGAAGAGTCCAAGGCTGTAAAAAGTGAACCTTCTAGGAGGTGCCCTCAGACATAAGAGGGGAGTTGGCCCTCCCACCCACTGGTGTTTACAGCATCCTTTGGCCTTGGGTGTCCCCAGAGATGCCCCACATCCTCCAACAGTCTCCTCCTGGTCCCTCCGCCTCCCCTGTCATCAAGTTCTCACACCACTTGCGACAGTTGGGGGTTTTCTCAGAGCAGCGCCCATGTCCAGGTCCCAAATCCTAGTCCGGTGGCTCATGGGTGTGCAGTGGGCTGACATACAGCGAGAAGCTTGCACAGCTAGTGTGCTGATTTTGTTGTGGTGTTGGCGGCCGGCAGGCGGTGCAAGGCTCTGTGGGTGGGGGGCACTCCTCTCTGCTCCACTCACATTAGTGAGGGGCTGGAAGGCTCTGCCTGGGGTCTGGTGACTGGGCTTGGTGCCCTCGTGTTCCCCCTCTGTCTTCATGAGGCTCTCTGTGGGGATTCCCCAGCACTGTCCTTTTGCATAAGTGGACTGCTGCTCAGTAGCGAGGTCTGACTCCCAGGAGAAGCTCTTTCTCGCTCTCAGAGATCCAGCCACAGCCCCTCTGGGGCCCCGTCCCCATGGAGGGGGTCATGTAGGCACTGGCTTCCAGGGAGGGAAGTGAACCCTGACTCTTCATGGGGCACAGCCATGTCATGGAGGAGACCGTAGTCCTGGAAATGTTGTTGTGACCACTTTGCAAATTGCCATTGGCCACAGCCTTGGTGAAGGGAGTGCCCTCTGGTCCCTCCCAGGAGGAATTCATGATAAATCCACTGCACACTCCTGGCTCCTCCAGCCCAGCTTCCTCTCCACTCTGCCCACGAGCTCTGCCATCTCTCCTGTTTACGGCAGACCACTCTCGATTCATGATGTGGGCAATTGGTCACCAGCTCTGCAAGCTGTGATCATTGCTATGTTTGCCTAAGAAGTACTCATCTATGTAGTTTGTGGTCAGCACACTGTTGGTTCAAATAATCCATAATCAATCTACAAATTAAAACTGGGGTGAGTTTGTTATATGAGCCAATCAGAGGACTATATAGCCTGGGAGCTCCACCTTCACCAAAGAACGAAGCACTCTGAGGATGTTGGGTGTGCAGCGTGGTTATATACCGTCTTGGAACAAGGAACAGGCCTCAAATATAACAGGAATGTCTCTTTTACTACAGTCACGGGTGCTTTATTGCACATCAGGTCAGTGGTCACAGGCTGAGCACAGAAGGTCAGTGATGCATCCTTAGTTTCAGGGAAGAAATGCTTATCTGTAAAGAGATGCTGATATGGGGGTAAGGCATACATCTTTCTCTTTAAGGGCATCATTCTTGTCTTTGGGTACTGTAAAGGTTTACAGCAGAAGTACAATTCATGCTCAAGACGTCATGTCAGACCTTTCTGGAAAACTAGGTCGGGCTGAATTAGTTTGAAACCAAATGGCTTTCTTATAAATAACAATATATCAACTTCTCTTATTCCTTTTCATTTATTCATCATTTTCCCCCTTTTAATTGATAATCTTTTGAGCACTGATGATCAAAATATTATCCCTCGGTGGCCAGGGTGGTTGCTGCCTGCCCTGGGTCCATCTTGTCCCTCAGTGCTAGGTTTTTATCTTATTTATTTGCCCAGTTTACACACCGGGGGGAAATAGTTGAACAAGCACAGACATATACTAACAGAGAAAGCATTTCAAAGGTTATACACATTTTCAATTAATTTTAGATTGTCACCCAAACATTGTACGGGTGCTTTTACATGAGTCCATATGCTACATTGCGTACGATTATGGAACAGGTACAGTAACAAGGATGATAATTCAATACTTGAAATGATTAATTTAAAAACGAGTTCTCAGGCATAGTCTTTATCAGAAAAGGAAATTCATCAGGGTTGTAACGTGATCGACCTGAGCAATCATTACTCTAGCCTGCATGCTAAACTTACAACACCGAGTAAAGGAGACAACAATTGTTTGAATACTATGATTAATACAAGAATTCCAAGGAGTAACAGATACAGGAATTGCAATCTGGATTGCAAAAGGGAACCAATACCTGAAGGGAGCCAACCAAACAAATCAAGACTGGGTGTAGGATCACCTAGGGCATTCACTTGCTTTTTCATGTGCATCAGCAGAGATGACACATGGGATGATCCATCAGGTATAAAAACACAGCATTCAGTTTGAGTGACTGCACATGTACCACCTTGGGATGCAAATAGAATATCTAAGGTCACTCTAACTTGAAGTACAGTCTTTATCATTAAAGACCTTTCAGTATTTAATAAGGCTTTTCCTGCCTGACTATGGTTAAGGGTTGTTGAGCAAATTTAGTCAGAGCCTCTATGTGATATGACATCTTCTAGCCCCAAAGAAGCAACAAATATGGTGGCTAGGTGGTCGTACTAGTGGAACACTGAGTGAGCCCAATTGGCCTTACTGAGAGGAAGATTGAGAGCAGATTTTAGACCAGGGCAGATCCTTCCCTGCATCTAAGCGAAGCCCAGAGTGCAGTGTCCTAGCCATCCAGGTGGTAGCCAAGACCACAGGTTTGTTCCAAATAAGCTTTGAGTTCCATTAGGAGTCACCCAATAAATGCCTGTCTTTTGAGACCAGTGTGTCTCAAATCACTTTCTTTAAGTATGATAGTATTCTGAACTGACTCAGGGGCTATGCATCCCATATTTGTGTAAAACCACCCATAGTTCTCACTGTACTATCTGTTTTCTTTTGTTTATTTGTAAATTGTAGGGATAATCGGATGATCTGAGTAACAGGAAATGAGTGGCCGTGTCCTGTATCATTCTGTATCATTAATAGTATGAACTACTGGCTATGTTTCAGGGTCATAATTAGTAGTGTTGGGCAAGCTGTGAACACTGGAATTGGGTCTTTGGGTTATAATAAATTGCTTTAAAGCTTTCCAATCCATACTTTGAAAGGGAGAAACCCACCAGGGAGGCCCAGATGTACTATAAAGGGGAAGTTGATCACGGATCCAACAATTGAACTGATATTTTTTTGTATGTAACAAAGGAATATGTCCATTGTAAAAAGACATTGCCATCAGAGGCCCATTCAGATGTGGATTGAAACAACAAGCATGGTATCAGGAAAACCTTAAATGGCACTTCTTGGGTTAATTAAAAGTTTTTGTAATTAGATTTGAAACTATCTTATAGGGTTGTGGGGGAAAGTAAAGTATTGTGGTAGGTAAAAAGGTAAGGCAATCTAGAAATTGATTAGTGTTGAGATTATATAGGGTCTAACATTAGAAATATCTAAATGAGGGGCTGGCTGGGTGGCACAAGTGGTTAAGTGCATGTGCTCTGCTGCGGCAGCCCAGGGTTCGCCGGTTCGGATCCCGGGCACGCACCAATGCACTGCTTGGCAAGCCGTGCTGTGGCGGTGTCCCATATAAAGTGGAGGAAGATGGGCACGGATGTTAGCCCAGTGCAAACAAAAGAGAAGGATTGGCAGATGTTAGCACAGGGCTGATCTCCTCACACACACACACACACACACACACAAAATATGAACAGAAAGATCTAAATGAAGAGATACAAGGTTGGGAATATAGGCCTGGTCCAGAGTCTTGGGTCAGCTGACTACAACAGATCTCTCTTGTCATCCTGGTGTGGAGTTACGTGTATGGGTCAGTTGAAGTCAGTGTTGAATA